CTGTGCAGACAAAGATGGCGTGAATATTTTGATGAGAGGTCTCAGTTGAAAGGCATCTGGTATAAAACTATCCAGCCTGAACTGCCTCGATACCCATGGTTTGAAGGTAGGGAGATAGATAGGAAATATGTGGTAGCATTATTGAGAATGCGGTCCGGCCACATTCCATCCAACAAATTTAAATACTTAATGGGTAAAACTGCTTCTCCAAACTGCGAAGTTTGTGGAGTATTAGAGGATATCTACCATGTTCTGATGGAGTGTGATCGGAACGTACTGGAAAGAAACTTCAAATTATCTGGATTTGAAGTAGGGACTTGTAACAGCATCCTAGCTGTCCCTCTGTCAGAGGATGCTAGGGTTTTGTGTCGACTCCTAAATGTTATTAATTATGTGTAACAAGTATAACTAGTTAATACTATTTAAGTACATGTAAGCCTGGGTAGTTTGTAAGATACTTAGCATATTTAGATTGTAGACAAGTTAATTGTAAGTCACGGGGTGACATTATCACTGTGTGATTAAATCCCATAAATAAATAGATTAAAAAAAAAAAAAACTATATTTATTATTGAGGCATTGTAGCTATACTGAAGTTATTCAAGGTTATACTGAAGATTTTGAGACTTATTATTTTGAATCTGATTGCCTCGTTAGCTGAGCGGTCGCAAGTGCGGCTGATGGGCAAGGGGTCTCGGGTCGGGCAAAGTATTATTGGGTTTTAAAAAAATTCTCAGTAGGAGCACAGAGTTTGGAATTATGCCCGTTATATGGCAATATGGGGCTCATAACATAAATAGTGCAAAATGGGTGTTACATTGTACAGTGGCGTTAAGTGCCGTATTGTACACCTCTGCCTAGCCCCTCGGGATAAAAGGCGTGATTATTATATTATTATATGTATGTATTTTCATCAAGCATTCACATTCAATACTCATATCTAAACAACTATTTAAGCATACGTTGTGCATATTAATAATGCGTTTCATACGATTAATATGCAATATATAATCGCAGCATGCATTTACACAGTCTGAATAGAATCCTCTATACACGTCTCGCTTTGTTTTCTATTTATTAAACACTTCATTAGTTCTATATCTTTTGAGTTTTATGGATATTTAAGGGCAATACAAGCATATTTCACCATCTCTACTGTACACGCAGGTGTCCAAAATCTTTAGTTTAAAATCGAATTTTACATTAAAATTGTGGATATATTATAAGCTTTTTAAAACTAAGATTTTTTAAATTCAGCAGCAAAGAACTAAATTGACAGAGCAACAGACAATAGCAGCGCATTCTTACAAACCAGAGTGCATACTCTTAAAACCAATCTCAATGTCAATGCAATTTCAATCCAATAAAATTTCATTAATTATTCAATGTCAAAACTATACAACCTCAATTGTAGCTGTTACAATAACATTCAGAGTACGGAATATACAGCCAAACTCAATACCATTTAGTTCATTCAATATAGAAGCAATACGGATGCAATGGGCGCTACCATCGCAACTCGATGTCGATTGATCGGGATTGGATTCAATAGTAAGCCCCCAGAACCTTTTAGACTGCGATCTTCATTTTACGTGCTAAGCGAGGACCATTATGGCAAACCCTCTTATGTAGAGGAGATTAATAGTGTAGCAATCAACTGTACGGGTTGTTCATTGATAATATACTTGTGTCTAGCTTAATTGTATTCTATTACCCTATTCGTTTAAAAGCAGTTTGATAGATTCTCAGATAGACTAAACGAATTATTTTAAGCATCTACGTATGCCATTGCTTTTATAAGTACTTTATGTATGTTATAATATATAGAAGTAGCTACAATAGATCTAATTGGTATAAATCTCTTATTTGCTGTATCATTTCAGTGTTGTTTTTTTTCTTTAGGGGGATAAATCATCGAATGACTTCTCCCGCATGGGTGAGGCGGGAGGGAGTGTTAAACTCTTACTGATTAAAAACCGCCCCGTTCCTACTTTTGCACTTCGAGCCGGAGTTCCGATAACCCGCTAAGTTCTCCTCGGCTCTGTATCAGCATCAGCCCTATTAGACCCATCTGTGGTGGTCTGATGGCTCTTTGAGGCGAGCGCGGATCGCAACGCGCCGCACGCTCGGGCCTGGTTCTGGCCGGACGGCGAGCTACCCATGCTCGCCGTCCGCAGGCCCGTGCATCATTTCAGTGTTTAGAATCTCATATATTCGTAAGATCTATGACAAAATTTATAGTCACGTCAGAAGGAATCAAAATTGTGTTATTGTTGTTTGTCGTTGTTCTGCTGTTTCTATAATTGATTAGGTTAGCAAACAAACTCCTTTTTTGTCCAACCAACTATATCCACGTCAAGTAGAAGATAAAAAATGACTAAGTAAAAAATGAGGGTCACTTCTTTCATTTACAGACACCACTTCAAAATTCTTACATGACCCTTCCCCACAAGTCATTTCATCTTTGTTTCTTTGTTCGTGAAAATTAGTATGTAAATACAACAAGTATTTTTAACAAAAACAAACAATATCTTCATTCTCAGTTTGCGAATATAATGTGAAATATAAATCAGTTCTGACGTCAGTTTTCATTGAAAACTTTAGTCCATTCGAATTTTGCAAATGAATCGTGCGCATTGAATCGATACATTGACATGAAGGGCGCGCCGGATGCACGCTATTGGTCAAGGATCGCCATATAACATTTTGAACAATGTACAGTTTTATTTGCAGAAGTACCATGATTCATGCGAAGCGATTATGCGAGGAGGTTGTCGATTTGGTGACGGCAGAGATCACCATGGACGTTTCTAACACTCTCTCGCCTTGTCCTGGAGAAGTCATTGAATAATTTTCCCACATTAAAAAAAAGGAGGAAAGGCATTTGCCAAAGACTTAGCAGCAGCGATCTCTATTAAACCTAAACCGTTCAAATTACTATCTCGAACCCACCTACGAAGCATGGATATTATGAGTGACCATTGACTAACTCTCTTATGAAGAGGAATCTCATCCAGAAGAGAATTATTGATTATGATGACGACATACCCTAACTACATGCCAACACTATTAATACCTTCCAGACTTGTCCTACGGCACACAACTTACTTCATAAGCCGCCATATTAGTACGGGTGAACAACACATTGTGCGCCTGCGCATAATTTAACAGCGGGACAAGAATTAATCGAACAAATTAACACAGCACTATGGCCCCGTACCTCGGTGACTCACTCAACGCTTTTATTTTGTTTGTCTCTTCATTAAATTATGAGGAAAATTAATATTGTTCCCATTTAACACTAGCTGGCTTTTTATATTATTTTATCCTTGTTGAGAATCTGTTATAGTGCCATCTAGCGAGTTTTGTTTGTAGTTGTTTTGTTCAGGTGTCGTTGTATTATGACCTAATTTAGAAGCGTTGTAGTTTTTAATATATTGCTATCTAGGACCAGGTAAAATAAAATTAGCTGCCCTTGGTAAACTGTTATTTATGAATGCCTAGTGGTTTGTATATTTTATAGTTATCGCAGTTGTTGTAATGGTGACATTGTCTGAAGGTATTCTTTCCCATTAAGTTTAGATATCAACATTATAATCAATAGCTCGTGGTGACCCATTATTGAGCTATGCACTTTCTCTACAGAAGACGTTCGCCATATTATCCGAGATTGGCAGACAGGTTGTTTTTATCGAAGACAGTCTATAGTTAATGCAATTTCTTTCGTTAAATGTTCCATGTGTTAATAGGACATAAGGGACAATTGGAAATAGTGTGCATAAGGGACAATGCTATTACAAAAAATTTGTACTCAATAAACTCAGGCATTAATTCTGAATCAGAAAGCTCCTTTTGGAACAGTTTCCAAGAACTAGCAAAAGATAGGTACCTATAGTCTACTGTTGGTTTCATCAAACTTAAGAACTTTGTATGTACGAAATATTATTTATTCTACTGTTCGTTGGCCGAGTAGTCGCAAGTGCGACTACCAGGCAAGGGGTCTCGGGTTCGATTCCCGGGTCGACCCAGGTTCGACGGGCTACTGGGTTTTTAAAAAAAATCTCAATAGTAACACGGAGTCTGGAATTGTGCCCGGTATATGGCAATTGGCTCACCCGCTATTACATGGGACTCATAACATAAAAAGTGAAAAGTGGGTGTTACTTCTATGTGCACCTCTGCCTACCCCTTCGGGAATAAAAGGCGTGATGTTATGTTATGTAATTATTTATTCTATGGCAGTTTAGTCTACCTTGCACAATGTACTAAGGAATGCAACATAGTCACTACGTTATCACTGCCTTATCGCTTCGCATTAGCTAAATATACCTCTTCGTGTGGTCGCGTGTTGCAATGATGAAGGGACATGAACTTTGTATAATAATTTGAATTATGTAAGAGCATGGAGAGGCCTACGTCCAGCAGTGGACGAATACAGGCTGATGATGATGATGATAAAGAGCATGATAGGAATCTTTAATTTATGTAATGTCCGAATACTCTGCAGAATACAATAAAAATTATTTGTAAAATGACAGAGATAACACGATATTTAAGTACAACTTATAATTGAGTAGCCTTTTAGTATTCAAGTGAATGGGAAGATAAAGAAGATTAAAAGTTCAGAAATACTTTTTGAATCACTTTTGGGTAAAACTCCAACCTACTAATAACTTTAACAAAGCAAATCGTACGCAGTCCAAGATAGGCCAGTGGTTTGCAGCAGCACTTTGCAGCTACTGAACCAATGAGGACGACGTCCAAGAAGTAAGAATATCATACAGTCTTTAAGTGCAGTTAGTCGAAGAAGCCAAGAGGCCCCCTACTTTACAGAAATGTTCGATTCCCATTTCATAGAAATAGACTCTATTATTACCGGCCACAATTTGCTTTTTTGTTTTACTTTGAATTTTCATAACCGAAAATGATCAAAAACCATGTTATCTGACCTAGGATAGCTTTGAATCTCTATAAAAATTAGAATTATTAGTATTCCTTACCTCATGGTACCCTTGTCCAAAGGGCTGTGCCCTCGGTCTAGGGTTCCTGTACTGCGTGATGCGTGGGATGACCAGGGGCGGCCTCTGGTCTCTGCTGTACACTGCACATTCTTCTGGCGTTATCCACTGTGGACAAGAGAGATGATTTGGTTAGAAAGGTCGAAGATCTCTTTCTTTCTATAAGTGGTCTAAAATTTAAATTTAAATTTGAAAAACTCAATTGTGGATCTCTAGATATGGAAGATAATTATAAAAACATAGTTTAAAGTTTGTAATCACTAAAAGTTCACATAATCTAAACAAATCTGCAACAACAGCCAGAGGCATCACGAATTTACGTTCGAAGTTGACACAAATTCCCGACTGTATAGGAAATTACCGACTTAATGACAATTATAATAATTTACAATACTATTGGAAGAAAAGCTCAACTTTCTATTAAAACTAAAAGTTAAGACCTCCCACTAAGCAGAAATAGCATAGAAATTCGCAAGCAACATTCCTATCCACAACAAATAATACAGAATCCTAATTGATGGTGAAACACAACGATTTCCTTCACGATCGGGTTACAACTCGCACAGTTGTTCCTTGTTACACATCCTGCGTTGCGTAGAGGGCGCCACATGCGTTAATGGAAGCAAGTTTTTGAAAGTGCTTATTAATTTGTACTTTGAAAGTTATTGAGAGATTCTGAGATGGGATCGTGTCATGATTAGGTTTAAATAAGTTTTTTCAATTAAAGATTAATTCCAGGGTTTCAATAACATTTTTCTGACTGAATGCATTGAGAAATTAAAACCTTTATTCAACTCATGTTTTGAAATAGGTAGAACTATCTAGTCTTGCTTAATACATTTAACTTTTGTTTAAAATCACAGATCCAAAATTAAACCTAGAGTTTTAAAAACAAGGAATAAAACAGTCAAAGTCTATATTAGGTATGTCCTTCATGAATTTCCTTGGGTTCTCTCATATAATTGATAACTCAATAGACACAAATTACATCAACAGATTCAATACAAAACTCATACATTTTACAACAAGACTTAAGACGAACAGTTTCACATAAGTATTCAGTTACTGTCACACTCTATTGACTGTCAATCATGCAAGCAATGTTTAACATTGTTTATTGACACTTCTCTACGTATTACTAGTTGAGGTTATCTGCGATAGACGGCGTTGTTTATCGAATGTATGCTATAAGATGGTATGCCAAAAATGCATTGTGTTAACGCAATGTTTGGGGAATCTTAACTCAGAGTATATTGTTGTTAAAGTCTATTTTACGTTGCATGCATTAAATCGACAACCTAGAGGTATATGTATTGTCTAATTAGTTTAATTATATCAATTGTTTTAATAGTGATGCGAAATAATAAAAGTTAAGTAAGTAATCTTGTCAACATAATTATTTACATATTTGAATAAGGTAGCAGTGTGTGATTATTCTAGCCCATTTCTAGGGTTTCAAAGATGGACGTGTTTTCTAAATGATTATAGACAAAGGTTTTGGACAAAGTGGAATATGTGTGACTTGCTAATATAGAGGCCTATGTCCAGCAGAGACCAGAAATGGGGTGATGAAGATACATAACACAACATCACGCCTTTTATCCCCAAAAGGATAGGCAGAGGTGCACATTACGGTACTTTTATGCCACTGTACAATGTAAGAACCCCTTTCACTATTTATCTTATGAATACCGTATAATAGGGGGTGTAAGATAAATGAAACTATAATACAAGCTAACATAACAGCATACAATCATGATAAGCACTTTCGAAAAGCACCTACATATCAAATCTAACACAATTATCCACTAATGATCATATTTGAAGAATTCGCTGACATTTTACCATCAAATAGCCACAAGGAAATAGCATATTATATAACATCATTATATATGATTTACACTGGTCATGAATAGTACAATTATATGGAAGTATCTATGGCAAATTTTGTAATATTTTGTAATCAATGAACTATAGAATCTGACCAGTATATCTTGAACTTTCAAAATGGAGATACAACTTCTAAACTTGAATTGAATTTAGGAGATAGATAGAGAAAAAGCAAAGAAACGATTTAGTTTTCAGTGCAAGGCAGTACACAGGGGTACTGCCTGGAAGGGGGAGGCAGAGGTGCACATTACGGCACTTAATACCACTCTACAATGTACCACCCCCAAATTTAAAGGCGCTGTGATGTCTAAAATCTAACTTAAATGTTTTCCCACATAAAGTTGGTTTTTGCTTACTAAGCTCCATCTATGTATGTGAAGGGTCAAGTTATACTGGTTTATAGAGCACCATTAGTGTTCGAATTTATAGAAATGTGCTTAGTAATTGCGTCTGAATGTGTTATGTAAAGTTATCGATAACGAGATTGACCTATTGTGGTTTTCCTCTTTTTTATATTACTAGTTATTAGGAGACTTAATTCTTTGCTAAAAATTTTTTTTGGTATAAACCGGTAAACGAGCAGACGGATCACCTGATGGTAAGCAATCGCCGTCGCCCATGGACACCTGGAACACCAGAGGCGTTACAAGTGCGTTACCGGCCTTCTGGATTAGAAATTTGAGGATTGTTGGGGATTCAGGGATTGGGCAAAAGGGTGTAATTGGGCCTCCGGTAACCTCACTCACACGACGAAACACAACACAACGTTGTTTCACGTCGGTCTTCTGTGAGGCCGTGGTATCACTCCGGTCGAGCCGGCCCGTTCATGCCGAAGCATAGCTCTCCCACACTTTAAATGTCGAATGTCCTAGGTCCTACGTTGTATTCTACACTAAGGACCAAAGAACGGAGCGCCTAGTGTTTTCTCATTTTATCTAACCTTCTATAGTTTTAAAAATAATATTTCGTTGACAGCAAAATGCACTAATTTTAAAGGAAAATAAATTGCCTTTTATATGACATTCGTTACCAATTAATAAAAGACGTTGTATCAGAATTTATTTCTAACGTGATAGAAATGATAATCGCCTGACATGAGCGTAGATGGACGTTTGTGTAGAGGTACATTCTTATGGAGATTTATGCAGTTTTACTATGCATTTGCTATGTACACGTGCTGGTGTTTAGAACAATATTTATATACTTATGTGTAATTAACTGTTGGTGGATACTTTGTGTGTAGGACGTAAACAGTAGTAACACGTACTAATGTATACTATGAGTTGTGGATATTAAACATGTATATACCTGTTCGCATATGACGCAAGTGACTACTAAGCCTTTGGTTCTCCTAGTAAATGAAATTCTCATACTAATTTTATTATTTTTATCACTAGTAATTTTAATTAAGCGTACATATTTATGTATTGTACAGATAATTTCACTGACTGCCTCGTTCGCCGAGTGTGACTGCCGGGCCAGGGGTCTCGGGTTTGATTCTCGTGTCGGACAAATAATTGTAAGTTTTTTAAAAAAATCTCAATAGTAGCATTGAGTCTGGAATTGTGCCCGGTACATGGCATTAGACTCACTCCCTATTACATGGGACTCATAACATAAATAGTGAAAAGTGGGTGATACATTGCACAGTGGCCAGCCCTGTTTCACTGTTTACATTGTGAACTTTGTGTAAAATAAAATATGAATAAATAAAACAAACAATTATGTATTAACTAGACATATCTCAAAGTATTACGCGTATTTTCTAGCCCAAGATGAGTATCGCACAAACATTCCTCCATAATAAACTTCAGCTACACAAAGCCTTTTAAACTTTCAGAGACTGACACAACCATACAACCAAATAAATAAACTGTTCGAATAAAACCTTATTATTTACCTAAGTACCTAAAAAAAAACAAAACACTACCTATATCTACAAACTTCTTGATACAACAAACGACCTTGGTACCAATACCTATCAATTGTAACCAAACGGTACCCGGATACCGGCATTAAGAAGTGACCTATTGGACAAAGATTTCATATGACTCACTCAAGTTGATTGGGACAGCGCCTCTTACTAACCCATTCTTAAATCGTCTATGACGTCAAGAGAAACTATATATTTGTGTTTTAGTGTCTACATCTACATAACATCACGCCTTAGTGCCACTGTATAATGTAACACCCGCTTTCATTATTTATGTTATAAGTCTCATATAGGTAATAGGGCGGGAGCGAGCTTATTGCCATATACCGGGCACAATTGCAGACTCCGTGCTGTTACTGAGATTTTTTTAAGAGCCCAGTAAAACTTTGCACTCGGGGATCGAATCCAAGACCCCCTGCCCGGCAGTTGCACTTGCGACCGCTCGACCAATAAGGCAGTATTTTAGTTTCCTTAACACACAACAACTTAAGAAGGTGTAAGATAATTTTTGTATGGTCGGCAATGCATACATGTCTTTAGTATTGCAGGTGAACTAAGTCTTCAGTGACTGTTCACCATCAGGCGGTCTTAGTGCTACTGGTAGTAGTTAAAAAGTGGAACCACTTCTTCAACTAACTGCTTAAACTGCTTAAACAAAACGCCTGGTTGACACATCTCGTGACCAGAGGGCTGGTCTTTTTCTCGGTCAGAGGTTAAGCATTGCCATACAACGTGGCAATGCTGCCAGCCTTCTGAGTACTTTCCCCACTGACGTCGATGCGGACGAATTTTTCGATGCTTTATGTAAATTGTTGTTTTTGTTTCTCTTTTATATAATTTTAATCTTAAGTTGTATATATTTTATTATTAATTTAATAATAGTTAATTTTAATATTATTTAAGTTTTTATTGGAAATTTAATAAACGTTCTATTTTTTCACTAAACTGGTATATTAGGAAAAGATGTGACAGAAAAACAGACAGTCAAACTTTAAAGAGACAGTAGAAGAACTTCAAACTTCAAGAAACAACTTAGGAAGAACTCAACAGTTCACTAATATGAGTGTTTTAGTTATGCTCGTCCATTTAAACCCCATCCATTTAACTAAAATCACCTATCAGAGCAAAAATCTACTAATCTATTATTTAAGGGGGGAGAATCATCGAATGGCTTCTAGCCTAAGTCTCTTCTCGAAAATCACCCCGTTCCGACTCCTGCACTTCGAGCCGGAGCCCCTGCAACCCGTTATGTCCTCCGCGGCTCGGTATCGACATCAGCCCTATT